TTTTGTTTTTATTTTTTTAGTTGTTTAGTTTTTGTTTACGTTTTTTCGGTTGATGTATTGTTTAGTTTTTTTTTAAATTTTTTTTTGGTGTGAATTCTGTTAATCTGTAATTAATGTAGGAGGCTTTTTACTTGAGTTTCTCATAATGTGGAGTTGAAATCGTCAGTCGGAAGTTGCAAGTCACTATAGACACTGTTTGGTGAATGAATGATTTTGTGGCTTGGGAATTAGTTATAAGCATCTTGTTAACAGAAGTATATTTTCGGGTGAATTGATTGTGTGGTTGAAATATATTTCTGATTGGAGTTAATTATGGCATTTGTATTCTATTCAAGTTTTAAGGCAACAATGAGCGACCAGGGAGATAAGACATGTCCTCTCTGTGCTGAGGAGATGGACTTGACAGATCAGCAGTTGAAGCCTTGCAAGTGCGGATATGAGGTTTGTAGATGCTGTTTCCCCTTCTATTTGTTTAGAAAGTTCTTACGCTAGAATCTATCCTTTTTGAATGTATTCTTCAAAAGTAGGTCATCAATAAGACGATAATTGCTCAGCTAAATATAGTTTGGGGTTAAAGCATCTGAGGGGTTAGGTTTTTGATATCTTGAAGGTCTGCATGAGCAGTTCAAAACCATGTTGTTTCTGTTGAACTTGCTCTTAAACTTAAAATTCTTGAACCTCAAACCTTAACTATGTATACTGTGGTTGCATTATTGTAAACTGTGCCAGTAATGGAATATGTATACCTAAGCTGCCTGTCATGATGTACCCTTATACATGTCCATTAATTTGCTTTATTTGCAACTCCAAATTTGTTGTCTCCGAATATCTGGGTGGAGAATTTGGGTGGCTGAATTCATGAATTGCTTAAGGGCCTGTTTGGACAGGGAAAAAGATTTTGATAAAGAAACATGCTTTGAAATTGATCAAATTGTGTTTGGATAGTTGTAGTTGTTTGAAGGATAAAGGTTGTCAAAGTTTGAAGATTTGAGAGAGTTGAAGATTTTAAAAATTTATTTCAAATACGCCTTTAAATCATAGGTTCTTCAAGTTCAAATTTTTTATTGTCAATTTCATAGACAAATGCCAACTTGCAAACTGAATTTATTCCCAAGTAAAATCTCTTCTTTGATTTCATTATCATCTGGATATGGATTTGTTCATTTAAAGAACACTCTTCTATATTTTTTTGATTTAGATTTTGATCTGTTTCAATTTAAATGACACACTTTTCTTATTAGTCCATTCAGAAAAGAATGACACATGAGAAGTTTTTATAGTCACAAAAATGGCATGGCTCCATAAAGCTTTTGCCCCTTAAGCTTATAGGACCACGTATTTCAATAGTCTTCATATTTTTCTTAAACTTTGTGTCAAGTCAGACTACAACATCTAAATTGAAAGGGAGGGAGTATAAGATTTATCAAGACCACCTCTTTGAGATTGTATTAAAGTTTTAGTTCTTCTCTTTCTTCCCTTTTTAGTTTTCGAGTTTCCCGATTCATATTTTCCAGTTGACATATTTAAAATCTAATATGCCCTTCGTTCACATTTACTTGTTCACTACACTAAAAATTCATTTTTACTTTTACTTGTCCATTTTAGCAAAGCAAGAGAAAGATAGTTTTTTTTCCTATTTTATCCTTATCATTAGCTACTACTCATTTTCCAAACGATTTTCCAATTTATTTGAAATGCTATTATTATTATGGATACAACAACATACAACAAACCCAGTGTGATCCAACAAATGGGTTTTGGGGAGTATAGGGTGTACACAGACCTTACCTCTACCTTTTGTGTGGTACAAGGGTTGTTTCCAACCGACCCTCGACTCAAGAAAAGCGTTTTAAAAACCAGGTTCGAAAATATAAGAGTGAAAAAGCTAAGATGAAAATACAGAAGAAAAAAAGTGTTCACAGCAAAAATAGTAAAGATAACCAAACTAAAAAAACAGTAGTAATAAAATAGAAGAATATAATAATAACCTTTGTTCTAATAAGAGAGAGCAGATAAGGTGCCCTAAACTAAAATTATGCTCCCCCATTGAAAAGAGAGAAATCGTTCCATTATAATAATACTAATAGTAAGAAGAGACAACATATAAGGTGTCCTAAACTAGAATTATGCTCTCCCACTGAAAAGAGAGAAATCGTTCGATTATCTACTATCCTTCTACCCTAATCCTCGACCTTCATGCTCCACTAGGGTCATGTCCTCGGTGAGCTGAAGATGTTCCATGTCCTTTGTAATCATCTCTCCCCAATTTTTTCTCGGTCTACCTCTACCTCTCCTTAGATCTAGCACTGTCAATCTCTCGCACCTCGTCATTGGAGCATTTGTGCTCCCCCTCTTCACATCTCTGAGCCATCTCAGTCTCGCTTCCTGCATCTTGTCCACTACGAAGGCCGCTCCCACCTTGTACTATATTCTTCATTCCTAATCGTATCTCTGCTAGTATGCCCCGCTAATCCACCTAAGCATCCTCATTTTTGTTTCTTTCATCTTGACTAGTCCGATAACCCTTGGCTCGGATTCCCACAAGTGGGGTTTGGGGAGGGAAAAAGTACGCTACGGGCTGCTTCCGATAGACCCTCGATTCGGGTTACAAGAGTCAAATTGAATAATTTTAGTTCTGAATTCGGACATAGACTATTTAATTTTTTGAAATAAATTTACATACTTAAAATCTACGTAAAAAGTACTACAAGTCACATTAGTTAACAATTCAAAATATTCACATTAGTTAACAATTCAAAATATTTGCAAAAAATATGGTCAAACAAAACCTTGTTTGATTCCCCAAATAGTAAAAGTTCCATTATTTTTTTGAAACGGAGGGAGTATATGGGAGTGAATGGTGAGACACTAAAATCTAACTTACTCACAAGATGAGTATTGCAGAGATGTGGATACTGCGCCGACCTCCAGGTGCACTGGACCGAAAGTGAAACCATGGTGAGTGGCAGTGTTAAAAAAGGGACGGGGTAGACCTAAAATCACATGGAAGGAAGTTGTCTCGAAAGACCTACAATCTCACGTATCCATGGAGACCTAGCAAAAAATAGTGCACAATGGAAGTAAAAGATCTTTATAGGCAACACTAGTTAATTGGGAATATGTTTGTCATGCTAGTACGTCTAATTTATGCTCTATGTTTTCTATGAGTCTTTTAGTCATGTCAAAGATTTATATGCCAGTATGAAATATAGAAAACTTCTTGTTCTTTTTATTTATTTTTCTTCTGTTACTATATTGGTTTGAGATTTGTTGTATAACAACAACAACATACCCAATATTATCCCACACTATGGGGTCTGAGGAGGGTAGTGTGTACGCAGACTTTATCCCTACTTTGTGAGGATAGAGATTTGTTGTATTATGTTAATTTGAAATGAGATTAATAGGCGACATAGTTAGTGAGGATTCATATGGCCGACCCCAACTTACTTGGGATTGAGGCAGAGCTGTATTTTCTTTCACATGTGACCTTTACTCCAATGGCAAATTTATTAGTAGATGTAGGTTTTAACATTTGATACATATTTCTGACAGATATGTGTCTGGTGCTGGCATCACATTATGGATATGGCTGAGAAGGATAATACAGATGGGCGGTGTCCAGCATGTCGCATTCCTTATAACAAGGAAAAGATTGTTGGCATGGCAGCTAAATGTGATAAGTAATGACATGAACCATTTTGCATCTTAAGACAATCTCTATCATAGAGCATACAAATCTACATTTTCTGCATTATTGATAATCTTTGGTGTTGACCACAGGGTAGTGGCTGAGATGAGCACTGAAAAAAGATTGTCGTCTCGCAAGGGAAAAAGTAAAACAGCAGATTCTAGGAAGCAACTCAGCAATGTGCGAGTCGTTCAAAGAAATCTTGTTTATGTTATGGGGTTGCCACTCAGCCTAGCTGATGAAGATGTATGTACCGTTTGTTGTGAAATCATCAGCACCTCTCAAGAATAAAAAAGAAAAAAATGCACTTTTATCTCCTATTAAATCTCCCTGTTCTTCCTCACTTTTTTTTTGTGTTGCTCAAAAGCAGCTTCTACAGCAGAAAGAGTATTTTTTGAAGTATGGGAAGGTTCTGAAGGTGTCTATGTCTCGTACAGCTGCTGGTGCTATTCAACAATTTGCAAATAATACTTGTAGTGTGTAAGTTTCGTTCCTGATATGAGTTACCTGGCTGCTTGAAAATTGACAATTGTAATAGGTCTCAAAATTTCTTATGTCTCACACAGTTGTCCGAGTTATCAAATATTATCTAGGTCTTTATATCTTTTGACATATTTCAGTGCAAGTTCCTTCATATTGCTGCAAAAATAAGATGTGAAAAAATGGTACAAGGTCAAGGCCTCCAATGATTTACCAAACCTCTATACCCTGTGTTTTATTTTTTCCTTTCCCTGGTGCTTTGGAGGAAAAATGATCAATGTGAACAGTCATTTGGTTGGATGACAACCTGTTGTTTGAGCCTCTTCCTTGTTTCTCAGTCTTCAATGTTTTCTATATGCTCCTGGTAGAGAATCACTTTTTCTAATAAAGTTTCTCTACTTTGGCAAACACCTTGTATGCTCCATCCCATCGATAAGCGTTAACTTCTACAACAACAACAACATCCCAGTATGGTCCCACAAGTGGGGTCTGGGGAGGGTAGGATGTACGCAGCCTTACCCCTACCCGGAAGGGCAGAGAGACTGTTTCCGATAAACCCCGGAAGCGTTAACTTCTATAAAAAATAAATTTTGCTGCCTTGGTTAGCTCCAATTTGTGCTAAGACAAATTTGACACGACGCATTGCATGTGTTGATTCTTTATAACTCTTCTGCCTCCGAAAATTCTTATTGTTGAAAATACTGGAAGCTGCAGGAACATGTATTTAAGAGTAGTGTGTCCACGGAACATCCAACCAAAATCTCACTAGTTGCCACTGTTGAATTTTTGATCCAGTGACACATCATTCATCCCCTGCTCTTTCTACAATCATGAAGCCCCCTGATCCCTTTGTTGTGCTCTCATCATATTTTTATGTTTGCTGGTTTGAGATCCTCAATTCATATGTAGCCTTTCAATCACAAGAAAATCAGTTAACAAG